TAAAGTAAAGTAAGCAAACTATTTTATCTACTATAAATAATTCTTTTATATTTTAGTAGCAGAATGCTACTTAGCTATTACGCTAGATCTTTTCTAGCGTAAGCTTTAAGCAGTGTTTGTTAGCTTTTAGTATAGCCTTTTAGATGTCTAAGTTAAACTGCTTAAGGTTAAGAGTGTAAAGGTACTTAAGCTACTTGCCTAGCAGTTTTAGGTTCTAGTTAACTCTATACAAATTATACTAGGCCTTAGCTTAGTTAAAGTAGATATAGATATTATAAAAGTTTTTTACAGCCTACTACCTCTGCTTATACTGCTTGTGCATAAGCAAGTTTCTAACTAACATGTTATCTTTATGTAGTAATGCTAGCTGCTAGGTTGCCTAGTTAACTTTTAGTAAAAACTACTTAATGCTATATTACTGCATAGTCTTTTTTATTTTAAGGCCTTTTTTAACTACAGTCTTCTCTCTGCTAGTTAGCTTCTAGCAATTTTTATATAAAAAAGATTCCTGCTAGATTAGACTACTGCTGTAGCAGAATTAGAGCGCTTGCAATGCTACAACTATAACTATTGTCTTAGGTAGCAAATACGTTCTAGCTGTGTGCGCAAGCGTGTATTTAAAAAAAAAGCAGTATTTGTTAATTTAGGCATAAAGAAAGCTAAGAAGCTCCTAGGTTAGAACAATATAATAAAAAAGTAAAAAGTTAATATTATTAATAAAGTTATTATATAAGTCTTATTTATACTACTGCTTATAAATCTTCTTTATTATTATAAAAAAATGCAGTGCTTTTTTTAAATTCTGTATAACTTTTACTAGTTATTTTTAAGATTAGCATGCGCTTGCTGCTTACTGTAAAGATAGGTAAACTTACAGACAGCCCTAAAGAAGAATCTGCCACCGCCTTTTTAATACAAAGACTAGACATACCTAGAGTCTAGTGCAAGATTTTTAAAAGATTTGCTGTTAAAGATATAAGTCTTAGCTATGTTAAACAGTGTCTTAATTAGTAAGTAAAATTAGAAGTATATTAAGCCCTCTATACTCTTCTTTTTATGTAGTAAGGCAAAAAGTGTCTAGCCTATTGTGTCTTGCATTGTAGCCTAGGGGTACGTTGTGCATTAAAAGCTGCTCTTTGCTTAGCTACTGTCTGCTTTTAGAACTTCCTAAGTCTAAGCATAAGCCTTAAGGTAACACTTTTGCTATAAAAACACTTCTGCTTTATAGTTATTTAAAATTTTGTTATATAAAAGCGCGCTGTTTTTTAATGTTACCTGTTTTCTAAAGTTAATAAAGGTATAACTTTTACTGTAAAATTATAAATTAGTAACTTTAAACTAGCATTTTTTCTAGTGTCTATATGCTAAAGTTAGGCTGGCATCTATATGCTCTAGTTTAGTATTCTTTATGTGCATAAAAAGCGTTACGCTTTTAAATTAGCTAAGGCTAAAATTTTTTGTAATACTTTTAAGAATGCAGTTTTAAAGCAAGTCTAAATACTAAAGCTGCAGCGCATACTTTAGAAGCTGCTTTTTTGTAGAGACTTTTTAAAAAAAGCTTTTTACAGACTTTACAGTTAAGTCTAGGTTAGCAATGTAAGTAGAAGCAGAGTAGTGCTGTAAGATATTTAAGCATCTAATTATCTTCTTTAAGAAAAAGCTAAGGACTGTGTTATACTAAAGCTGCTAGGTCTTATTACTAAGGTATGTAGTATGCTTGTAGTTGCTTTCTGTATAAAAAGAAGAAAAAAAAATGTAGATAAAAAGTAACTTAAATCTAATAATAAAGCTAAAGTAATAATAAAAAATTTTATATAAAGAGACATACTTCTTAGTTAGCTCTTTACTATTGTTGTATGTAGGCACTTTTAAGCTAAAATATATGTCTACAGCTAGGTTTAAAAATAAATAGCATTATAGAAACTAATTAATTCCTTACTAAGCAATAGCTAGGCTGTTAAAAAATAAGTAGACACTATTAATATTAAATGTTATCTTTGCAGAACAGTCTTTGTTGCTGCAGGAGTAGTGTTATAATAGGCAAAAGTTTTTTAGCAGGCGCTTATTACTAGTTCTAATATTATTAAAAAAAGCTATAGTACTTGTCTTTTTAAAGGCGCCTTAGCAGTTAATGCTGCAGAAGTTTAAAAAATTTATAAATTTAAAGCTGCTAAGCATGTTTAAAAGAGATGTTCCTTTATTACATTCTCTATAAAGAAAAGTAGTAATTTAGTAGATAAAAGAGCATACAAAACAAACATTAAAGTGTTAATAGTGCTTTTAGTGTAGTCTATTTTTCTTGTTATAGTCTTTATAAGTGCAGCTTTAGAAATGCTAAAGCTGCTTAGCTAGCTTAAACAAAATTTGTTCTAACAGGTCTAGAGATGTAGAGAGGTTAGTAGCTATAGATAGTGCCGTGGATGGTGCTGTAGATGGTGCTGTGGGCGGTGCTGTGGATGCAGTATTAGGGTTACATTAGGCGGGATTAGAGGCTGCAAGGCGGGGTGCAGGTGTATAGATAGGTAAAGGCAAGGTAGTGTTTAAAGATCTTAGCACAACTAGCTAAAATAAAATACTATTAGCAAATAAGCTTTCTAGTAAAGGTTGTATTTAAAATAAAAAAGTATTACTCTAAGCTAAGAATTAAGTTCTATATTATCTACTTTTTTAATTTAATTGCTGTAAGGACTGTAAGCTTTGCTTATTAAGTGTCTACTATAACTTACTACCTGTAAAGTGCTTTGTACCTATTAATGTCCTTGCTAAAGCATAAGAGTTGTAAATACTATTATTATCCTTTATAATTATCTCTTTAACAAAAGCAACTAGCAGGTAGCAAAAATGTTGTAACTTATTATTACTTTTTTTACCTTTTTTGCCTACTTTGCTAGTAACTTTTAAACCCTTTCTAGTTGTTAGCTTAACTATATTACTTACTTCTACAACTTTTTCTACTTCTTTACTTAGCTGCATCTTAAGCAGAATTTTTGCAGTTGTTTTATTTATTTTATTTAATTATTTTAAAATTGTAATTTTATATTTATTTTACTTAATATTTGCTTTTTTTTTGCCTGCTTAAATCTGTTAAATCTGTCTAGCAACTTTAGCATTTTTACTAGTTATTAGATGTGCAGCTAGCAGTAGACAGTTTGTTTGCAGATTTTGTTGCTAAGTAGTTTATTAAAGTTTGTCTTTTTAAAAAATTAAAACCTAAACAGTTGTTTAAAGGCTAATTTTTATAAGTGTTTTAGTAAGTACATCTGCAGAAATTTAGAGCTTATATGCAATAAAATTAGCAAGCCCCTAAGGATAGTGTTGCTGCAGGTATTATTGTTAATTGCGTTTCTTTCTAGCATCTGCTGCTGCTGCTGTTGTAGGAAATTTCTTTAGCCTACTTAAAGGCTTTTTAGAGAGATTAATAAATAGCATAATGCAAATAATATTATAATAGTTAATAATTAAAAGGCTTTTACTACTTATTAACACTTTTAAATTCTAAAACTGCTTAAATCTAGTTAGTGTAGTAACAGCACACCCCTTATTACATTATCTTATGCGCTAATGCTTACACCCTTTGCTTAAATAGTAGGCTGTAATAGCTTAGCGCAGCAGGCAAATGCCTAATAACATAGTAAATTTAATAAAAAGAAAGAACAATCTTCTTGCTGTTAGATAAAGTTTAAAAGTACTTAACTAACTTATGTATAGTCTAAAAGCAGGGCTATTAATATTCTAGCATAGCGCTACTAGGTCTTACTCTGTTAGAAGAGGGGCCTAGAAAAAGGTTACTACAACCTTTTTCTAAACTACCTCTTCCCTAATTATCCTAGCTGCGTACTACAGTTTGCAGAGATATACTGTAGTTTGCAGTAATATGCTTCTACTTATACTACTAGTTAATTCTAGCTAACAATTTTAGGCACTAGCCTATTACACATGCATTCTATCTACGCTTATGTTCTAGGTATAGTATTCTATGCAATTATGTCACTCTAACAAGCAGCCTTAGCGTAAAATATAGCATATTATAGTTTTTACAGCTATAGATAAAGACTGTCTAATTTTATAAAAGGCCTTAATGCAGCTAGCACGCCTTACTAAGTGTGCAATGCTATTCCTAACTACCTACTATATATATGTATACTATATAACAGAATTTAGCTTGCAGGGCCTTTGTTAAATGTTTTTGTCTATTATCTATGTACTACTAACTGCTAGAGGTGGGTGCTGTTTAATTCTACTAAAAACCTAAATGCAGTAAGCGCTTAATGCTAGCTAAGTACTATAATGCTATTCCTAACTACCTACAAACTATATGTATGCATACTATATTACAGAATCTAGCTTACAGAGCCTTTATAAAACAGTTCTATCTATTATCTATGTACTACTAACTGCTAAAGGTGGATAGTGTTTAATTCTACTAAAAACCTAAATGCAGCTAGCGCCTAATACTAGCTAAGTACTACAATGCTATTCTCAACTACCCACAAACTATATGTATGCATACTATATTACAGAATCTAGCTTTTAAAGCCTTTGCAAAACATTTCTGTCTATTATCTATGTACTACTAACAGCTAGAGGTGGATAGTGTTTAATTCTACTAAAAACCTAAATGCAGCTAGCGCCTAATGCTAGCTAAGTACTACAATGCTATTCCTAACTACCCACAAACTATACAGATGCATACAATATTACAGAATCTAGCTTGTAGAGCCTTTGCAAAACGTTTCTGTCTATTATCTACCTACTACTAACTGCTAGAGGTGGATGGTGTTCAATTCCACTAAAAACCTAAATGCAGCTAGCGCCTAATGCCAGCCAAGTACCATAATGCTATTCCCAACTACCCACAAACTATATAGATGCATACTATATTACAGAATCTAGCTTTTAGAGCCTTTGTAAAACGTTTCTGTCTATTATCTATGTACTACTAACAGCTAGAGGTGGATGGTGTTTAATTCCACTAAAAACCTAAATGCAGCTAGCGCCTAATGCCAGCCAAGTACTACAATGCTATTCTCGACTACCCACAAACCATATGGATGCATACAATATTACAGCATCTAGCTTGCAGAGCCTTTGCGAAACGTTTCTGTCTATTATCTATGTACTACTAACCGCTGGAGGTGGGTGCTGTTCAATTCCACCAAAAACCCGAATGCGGCTAGCACCTAATGCCAGCCAAGTACCATCCATAATGCTATTCCCAACTACCAACAAACTATATAGATGCATACAATATTACAGAATCTAGCCTACAAAGCCTTTGCAAAACGTTTTTATCTATTATCTATGTACTACTAACAGCTAGAGGTGGATGGTGTTCGATTCCACCAAAAACCCAAATGCGGCTAGCGCTCAATGCCAGCCAAGTACCATAATGCTATTCCCGACTACCCACAAACTATATAGATGCATACAAAATTACAGAATCTGGCTTGCAGAGCCTTTGCAAAACGTTTCTGTCTATTATCTACGTACTACTGACAGCTAGAGGTGGATGGCGTTTAATTCCACCAAAAACCCAAATGCGGCTAGCGCTCAATGCCAGCCAAGTACTACAATGCCATTCCCGACTACCCACAAACTGTATGGAAGCATACAAAATTACAGAATCTAGCTTGTAGAGCCTTTACAAAACGTTTCTGTCTATTATCTATGTACTACTAACAGCTAGAGGTGGATGGTGTTCAATTCCACTAAAACCCCAAATGCAGCTAGCGCCCCTTGCTGCCTCGCTAAACAATCCTCTTACCAAAAACGGTCAAGACCTCTCCGATGCCTACCTTTCAACCACTCTCTCTTCTGCCACAACGCCTATATAGCTTAACCGCTGCCTGCCTGTAGCTTTTGAACCTGTTTTCGTCCCTTTGCGCGAAAAAAACCCTACTGTCCCAGGTCTAACCTTATGCCTGTTTCTGCGGTTCATTTATTACTCTTACTAATTTATAGTTAATTAAATTAACTACTAATTAGTGTTAAATAGGCTCTTCTAGCTAGCTGCCTATAGAATAAGCACCTAAGTAGTAAGAGTAAGAGTAGTGTATAGTGTGCACAGTGTACAGGGTAGGTAAGGTAAGAGCAACATGTTTCTAGTTCTATTACTCTTGTCTTTCCTTTATATAGAGGAAAAAGGGGATATCTAGATGTTCGCGCACAGAGGTTTGCGCACAGGCATTATGTGACATAGATACGTGATCCTGCTTGTGCGCGAGGGAATTTGGGTTGTGTAGTACAAAGTTCAAAAGTGAAAAGCGAAAAATCTATCAACTTTTGGCGAATTGAGGAAGACCGGAGCTGCGGCGACTGAGGGGGTTGCAAGATAAGTACCGGTACCTAACCCTAAACCCCCCCTCTCTCCTAGAGAACTGGGGATAAGTACTGGAGGACAAGACAACTGCGCGGGACCCAGGGGAGTCGTGAATTGATGGAATTGGAGGTGGAGGACACGCGTCAGGGGCGGCAATTAACCTGCACACGCGTTAGAACGCGCAAGGCAACTAAGGCAAAGAATACAAGGAGACAACAGGGAAACTTAAGTAATAAAAGCAGAACAGATAAAGTAATTAATATTAACTAAAAGGCCCCTAAAGCCCTACAACTAACCTGCACTTAAGGCTAACTAAGAATAAGACATAACAAAGGAACAGGTATACCTAAAAGAAGCGCAGAAGTAAGATAAAAGAAAGACCTATTAGCTGTAGTGCTTATAGCACTTAAAAAGACCTAAGACAAGATAGTAGCTATAATAAAGTAGATAAAAAGAGAACATGTAACCTAGATTAAGACAATAAGAGCACTTACCTAAAAGGTAGAGGCACTAAAGGCAGAGAACAAAGTAATAGTAGACAAATTTAAGACCCTTCTAGCTAGATCTTATACGCTGCCTAGTAGATTGCTATCCTACGCTGCTGTGGCATAATTGCCCCTAAGTAGCTAGCCTAGTAACTTACAGACCCTTTTTACTAACACAGCACCCTTAACAATAATAGACACACTCTACTGCACAATTAACACATCTAGGATTAAGAAGGTAGACAAGGAGAAGGTAAAACTAGGCAAGATTAAATAAGCTATTAAAAAGAAGATGTAGACAAACTATAAGCGCATAGAATAGTAATGTGCAGTAGTAGTTAAAGACCTAAGGAACACTAATTAAATTAGAGTTACACATAGGGACAAAAGTAAGCTCTAGGCAGTTAAAGAGGCAGCCTGTAAGACAGCAGCTAGGGGAGTTAGAATACTGCGCAACTAGCTCTTCCTAATTAGAGTAGATAACGCTAACTAGCTAGTAGTGCTGTTAGAGAAAGAACAAATCTAACTAGAAGCCCTAAAGGCCCTTAGGGCTAAAAATAGAGTGCAGGTAGTAAAAGTTAGCTAGCTAAGTAAAAAGAATTTAGAAAAAGCATATAAATTAATAGTAGTGTATGTTACTAAAGGCAGCAATGCAGCTTAGCTGCTATAAGAATAGTACTTCTACATTAACAGAGAGTCTGCATACACAAGACTATTTAAACTGCAAAATAGACTATTATAGTGCTACTAATGCTAACAGCTAGAGCACAAGGCATTTACATGCACAAGGCAGCAGGTTTGTGCTAGGTGCGCTAGCAAAGGACACCACTATAGCAAATGCTAAGTAATAGTCCCTAAATGTGTACTTTGTAGGGGCCTCTATAAATCTTTTTTTAAAAACTATTAAGTGCTATATCTTAGTTAGAATGCCTAGGACGCTTAAGATATTCTAACTTAATGCAGAAAAGAGACATAAAGTACTACACAGTGTAATAAATTGTTACGGTCTACGGTTGGACCAGCGTAACTCCACCAGCAGTGCTCCACAAACTAGCTGGATTGGGACAGGGCTCGCTTATGGACCAGTCGGACGACACGGAGGCAGCACAGCTGCCTGCAGCAATGGAGGAATGCGTCGTCCAATAAGGAAGTAGGACGCGAGTCTGAGGAAGTCTTGGCGAGTTCAGCGAGTTTGAACGAGTTGGCAGTACAGCCAGTACAGCCAAACTCGGAGAACTCGCCCAAACTCGCCTTGGCACTCCCCGCACATGTATATAGTTCCCGCATTGAACAACCTTTAGAAGGCGTGTTCAACGTTTAGTTTATTCTCTACATAGACTGAGTAGCATTGAGCTTTCCGAAGAGCTGCAATACTATTTGTATATCTTGCACCATATATACCTCCAATCCTGTCCAACAGGACCGTTTGACCCGGCCTCCCTACTGCCGCATTAAGGGCAAACCACGATCCGGTCACTCTACTCCCCTCCAATAGCCCATTAGCCTGTACGTAGGACTGTACACCCTACCGGTTGGCCCCTATCATCCGCCCTACTTCCCCCGTAGGAATATCACAAGACCCGAGTGCTTCTAGGAAGCAAGGATTGTAACATTGAACACCACCCCTCTGAAAAGTATGGATACCTCTCGACACGATTTGGATTCCAACATGGCCCACGCGGCCCCGTCGGGATCCACGGAAGTTCCCACCCAAAGCGAAGCCGTCTTGGCAGAACAGATCAATTCGATCCAGGACGACATTAAGGAACTCCAGCGGATCGGCAAGGAACTCGGCGAACTAACAAGCCTTCGACAAGAAGTCGCAAGCCTTCGCCAGAAAGCAATGGAATCACAAACACCCCCTAGACCCTCGAGCCTCCAGGAAGCCACCAACCACGCCCATCAAATTCACGAACTACGAGTAGAGTTAGCAAAAGTACAAAACATCTCCACTGAGAAAGCAAGCATTGCAGCCAAGAAAGCTTTGAGGCTGGCCCCCCCAAGGCCTTTCGGAGGATCACCAAAGGACCTCCGCCCGTTTTTTACAAGATGTCACCTCTACATGCAATACAACAAAGGAGCATTTCAGACCGACGCAGAAATGATATCCTAGATGGGACTACACCTGGAAGGCCCCCCCGCGATTTGGTTCCAGCCCCACGCAGACAACTGGATGGACTTTAGAGCGAACGGCGCAACACTCACCCCCAAAACAGAAGAAGTGTTTAGCAGCGTCGAAAACTTCAAGGAAGCCCTAACAGCCATCTATAGGACCCTAGATGAGAAGAAGATCGCGGCCGACAAATTAGACACCATGAAACAGGGCAGTGGCCCAGTCCAGAACTATGCAGCACGCTTCAGGGAGCAGCTGGCCATCTGTGGATGGACAGACCCGAAAGCCCTCTGCCGCATGTTCTATAACGGACTAAGCGAATTGGTAAAAGATGAGTTCATGCACAGTGACAAGCCGACCACCCTCGAAAACTTTATCACGCAAGCGACAACCTATGATAACCGTCACAGGGAGCGTGAAAGAGAAAAGAAACGAAAAGGAACTCCATGGAGACCGGAGTTCGTTCCTAAAAAGAAAGAGCTTCCACGATATGACGGGGAACCGATGGACCTCAGTCATGCGAAGCATACACGGAGCCCCCCCTCTAAGAAGAGCCAAGTTCCGGGACGCGATAGGCCGCCCCTGACAAAGGAACAACGAAAGTGGCTAGAGGACAAGGCCTGCCTAAACTGTGGAAAAGTGGGACATTTCCGCCGAAATTGCCCAGACTCCCAGAAGGGGGAGAATAAAGATACCACTGCAACAATAAAAGCCATCACCACTGAATGTGGCCTCACGAACGAGGACATATCGGAAAGACTGGACGACGGACTCTGCTGGCGATGCGGAGGAAACCATTCTTCAAACAGCTGTCCCAAAGCATACTGGGAAGTAGCTATTCAAAACTTCAGGGGCCTAGATACAGTGTTGCAGGACCTCGCGATCCTTGAGGGATATAGAGAAGAGACTCAGATCCAAGGATATATTATGAACGTTCGAAAGGGAGAAGAACGGTTCCCCCTTCGAGATCAAACCCCCGGCACTTCAGCAAGAGAGCTTTCCCGACGGTTTTGGGAATGCAAATGCTGGAAATGCGGCCTGCGCCACGACTATCCAAGTCACTGTATAGTCTTACTCCACCAGATGAATATTGGTAACGACTATCTCACATTCGACATAATACGGCGAATAGCCAGAGTCAAGTACGACATCATGGACGAAGAAGAGCAATGGCAATTCTTCGTTAAAATCAGAGATCAAAAACTAGAAGGACTAGGTAGACCCGCCAGATTCGAGGTACCAGAGCCAGTACCCGGAAAACCCGAAACACCACTACCAAGCCTAGCGATCTCTAGAAAAGCTTTAGCAATGCGACAGAACCACGGACAGTGCGTTCTCTGCGGAAACAGCGCCCATGGCACCGACGACTGCCAATGGAAAGGGCACCCTGTACAGTTGGTACGAACACGAGAATACCCACGGTGGACCCAAGAAAGTCCCCTCAACACGTTACATGGACCCGACGATTGTCCATACCCCTGGTACCAATGTACACGGCGTTACTGTGTAAAACATTGGGACGACAAACACCAGACAGGCTGGTGGCCCACATGGGAGAAAAACCACGATGGATGCCCATGGCAAGGGACGGCCTCCGCCTGCGAAACCACGAACTGCTACACTTGTCAGACAGCCCCCCCCCCATGAACAGGAAGGGTGGACGAAGTGTGAAGAACGAGACAACTGCCGGTTCCACTATTTCCAATGGAAGGCAGCAAGGAAGGAAGACCATCTGACGTCACACCACTTGGTTGAAGATTATGAGTGCGAAGCAGCCGACTGCTGCGATCGGGAACACCAAATCTACAAAGAAGGGAAGGACGAGTTTGACGACGACCTATGGGACATTGACCTATACCCCCTTCCGGATGAAGAAGTCCTCTATAACATATCAGCTCTAGTCGCAGTAGGACAAGG